GTCAAATGTTTACACTAGGCCAAGAAGACTATTCGGCTTTTTCTTACCTCTTATATAGACTAAACTAGGCCAAAAGAAAATTAAAAACGACTGCAGTACAACAAGATTCATCCGTGCTCATCTGGTGAGATCGACCAACGAATCTCTTCTTCATGCACTTTCATACGAAATGAAGGTCCCCTTAAGAATTTTATCTCAGGAGATTCATCGAAACCCAGTTTCTCTTCGTATCGACAAAATTCAAGCTAACGAGTCAAGAAAACTTACCGGCGAATCCCTAAAAAGTGAAATATATAATCTACATCTGACCTCTTTGATCAAGTATAAAGCTATTTGGTTAGTTAAGGTCATATGTCAACTTCGATGCCTGTGAGTGTGTATGTCTCTGTATGTGTATGTGCCTGTTTGTGTTCGTTTATGAACGAAACCCGGGATGATATCTCAAAGTAATTAGGACAGCAAAAAGGAATGTCTGTTTTTAGTCATCAAGGTTTGATGACATCTATCTCCCTCTTTCTACATACATATTATAACCAATATTCCGTCTGGTTTTGTTGATAACCTTTTTTTTAATTTTGTTCTAAATTCGTGAGAGAAAGAGTGGTATCAATGTATCTTAACATCCCAGTTCATAAAGCTATTGAAGCACTTACACTTAGCCTAGATAAACGCCCAGAAATTATTGGGGAGGCAAGTCTGAGCAAAAGCTCAATCTTAAGGCTTCTTAATCTATCCACATACTTCACCTTTCATGATAAAGTTTATGAACAGCTGCAAGGCCTAGCAAAGGGATCTTGCTTGCAAAACCAAGCTTGCTGTTCTAATTATTTTAACCCATCACTGCGAGTTTCGTGCATAAGCGAACAAAAACAGGCACATACACATACAGAGATAGATAGACTCACAGGCATCGAAGTTGACATATGATCTTAACTAACCAAATCACTTTATACTTGATCAAAGAGGTCAGATGTGTATTATATATACCACTTTTTATGGATTGCCGGTGAGTTTTCTTGACTTGTTAGCTTTAATTTTGTTGTGACGATGATACTTTGCTCTGATGATGTTCGTCATATGATGGACGAAAGCTAAGCACCTTTTCAGCGGAATTAAAGGAGATTATCTCGGAAACAGTGAAACCAAACGACAGCTGGTCAAGAGGAATCCGCCGTCGTCTTCTGATGGAACCGATCTTCTAATCTCTTCACCCAATACTTTTACTCGAAATACAACTAAGCTCAACAATTGCCACAAATAAATGCTTCCCTCCACTCTATTCTCTAGTATTTTAAAGCAATTATCGATTAATCCTAATGTTTAATCATTCTCAACTAAAACTTTTCTTAATCGCCTCAGTTCTTGGTCCCGATAGTCCAAATCTTGACTCGTTAGCTTCAATAAACTCTGCAATACGCCGACTACTTAGTATCATGGATTGCAAAACTCCTAATTATACCCGATGAGTAGTGTTTAGAAAGCAATTTAAAAGGAATACCGCATTTGTGAGTCTCATACACATATTCCTACCCAGTTTGTTCCCCTCTTTGCTAAATTGGATAACTTACAGTACAGTATTATCAGTAAGGACCCTATAGAAACCCTCTTAAAGCTTGCAAAATATAACAAGGAGTAAAATGTGGTCTGGGCCTGGAACCAAGTGAAATCGGTCAAGCAGAAAAATAAGAAACTAAGCTACGAGCCCATGAATATGGAAATAAGAGATCCCAGTAAGGATCAAGGGATCAGAAGGGAATGGTGGCAAGGCAAACAGCAGGTGTGATGACACCACGGTAAATTCGCCAATAGGGCACACCTCTTGAGGAGTGGAATATAAACAAGTCAGAATCTGCAATAGGGCGGGAGTGAGGTACGAAGGTAGGGAGAAGATAGATGGGCCAGGACAGAAAGAGGTGTGATAGCATAACTGTCTTAGCAGAAAGTTGGTCAAAGTATTGACCTCACTTGACTCTTTGACGAGTTGTAGCTTAGTGCGAAGAAAGGCAGGACTAGGTGAGAATGCAGACAAAACGTCTGAAAGTCTACCAAGCCCACGCTCCGACGTAGAGAATTATTAAACTTACGACAAGATGAATCCAACTTCGTCTCCATGACAAACGACCAAGTTCAAAGAAATTCCTTTTGAAACCCCTTTTTTTGTGAATGAGTCTGCTTACATATGTTGGCTTTCACATAATATACTCCTTATATCTAAAGCTAGTTTAGTTTTGATGAATACATAGCAGCTGCAGGTGTCAACTAGGGTGACAAATTTAATTCCCCTTTCATTCACTGCGTGCTTGGATCCATTGTACATTGAGTTAGCTACGCTTGAGCGAATGAGTTCAGATTACTTCGAAACCTATATTTCTCTTTTCGGAGTTTGCCTTAAAGGAACTGGCCTCCCTTCTGAAAGCTTAAGACATTACCACAAATTAATTGGCTAAATTTCGCTAATTTTTAGTACCTATCTAGTCTTTCCTTGAGTTTTTCTGGTCTAATTTCTCGTCAGGTGATCCTAACTTGCCAGTCTTACTTTCAGGCATCGGATCCATTTTCCCTGCAAATGTCAGCTCTTCAAAAATCTCGCATCAGACATCCAAATTAACCCTGGGTTCTTCTTACTCTCTCGCAACCAGCAGTTACACGAATCCCTCTCTCCTTTCAATGACGAGAACAAATCAGACAGCCGCAGCTCAAACTAGCATCACAGCGGCAATAAAGCCCTCAAAAATAGTCAGTTCATTCGGCGATTGCCAGCCAGGCTCCAGCTATACGGCGTCTCATTCATTCTCTCGTCGCCCTGGTCCATCGACATTGACTGGCGATGTGCCATCTAGCCAATCCAGATATTTACAGGCCTGTTATGCAGCTCCCAATATTACTTATAACCCAATTGCAGGTTCCAGTTTTACAACCACAGTCACCATGGCTCGTCGTGCCCTTGCTCAGGCTAAGGCAGAAAGTCAAAGGGCTGCTCGCCTGGCAGAACTAGAGGCAGCAGAGAAAGCTGCAGAGGCTGCACGACAACGTGTCCTGGCAGAAAGAGCTGCCCACCTTGCGGAAAGGCGGTCGCGAGCAGAGGTGCGGAGAAAGCAGGTAGAAGAGCGAAGACGCCAAAGGGAGGAAGAAGATAAGGCAATAACCTATTTTTAAAGAAATTTTAATAATTTATATTTAAATTATACCTGAAGCCACCATTATAGCGTTTTTAGGGTAACTATAGCTGACATGAAATGTGGTTACACTTATTTCGCACTTAAAGAAATCTGCCTATTATGATAAGCTAGAAATGATTTAATTGCATCATATCATTCTGTAGAGGATTAGGGCAACGCACCTATTCCGGAGTCCATTGTATGCATGATCATTTCCAGAGTAGGACCGTGGACGTGGTACATTCCAAGACGCTTCGCCGGGATCGTAGTCAACATCATCAGTGAGAGGCACCACTTTAAGCAGAGAGTTACAACAAATCAAAGTGATAAGTGATGACAATCCCCTTGGCCAATTTGCTGTTCAACCGTTGTCCATCCCTATTTTATGTTCTACCTTCTAGTGCCGCATATCTTTCTCTCAACCCAACTTATATGGAAGTTGTTTGACCTTGTTTTCGCAACATGGTCATATTGGTAGGAAGACTTATTGGAACGCACCTA